TCAACTTCGAGGGGTTTTCGCAGCCAAAAGTGCATCGCAAATAAGAATTAATACCTTGACGATAAATCGAGAGATTAGGTATATCTGGATCATCATCCATCTGGGATCTTAAGATGATTTTTGACTGATTACTAAATTTGTAACAGTTTTTACATATTTTGCTCTGTAATGGAATGTGATTCAATTCTTCTAATTTCCGTTTCTTTGGATTATTTTTCCGCAAATTGTTAACCATCATCAACGAATTTGATGTGTTTTCAATAAAAAAACTTATCATTTTTCGATCTTTTTTGGTCATTACAGCCTAAACATTTAGTGAAAAGCATTGTCTTATTGAAGAATCAACGATCATCAAGATATGAAAAAATATACCTAAAAAGACAAGAGAATGTAGAAAAAATTAAGATAAAACAAGAGAAAAGTAGCGAGAAACCATAGATATATATAAAAATAGACCGAGCGCTTATATGACACAAGTTAAAGTATCGTACAAACAAAAAAATGGAAAACAAACAAGCAAGAATAGAATAAAATACATTAGAATAATATGTAGATAGATTCTTGGTATATACTTTATGTGATAGTACAGTATTTCAATTGCGAGAGAACTTGTCAATGCGTCATGTTCAGGGTGCTTTATAAAGCACGCCCCCCCTCTCCTCCATAAATGAAATAACAGTGAATAGTAGATCGTTCATTCTCTAAACAATGAATCCATTCGATAGAATATATCCTCAATATTACATGAACTTCAGTCACGTATTTTTCCTTATGCGATATACCCTGACTGGAAATCATCACTTTCACCCCCTTGTATCTCCGGAATCGTGCCTATGCTCATCTTGAAATTTTACTGAGATTAATGTTTCATCTAATCGTACTATTTGGCATGAAAAAAAGTTCGAAATTCGAGGTCCAAAAAATGGGCTAAATTTGCCATCACTCTTTACTTTTATTTTAACTTTAATTATTTATTTTATTTTTATATTTATTTCTTTTATTTTTGCACAAGATATGGTCTATCAACATCAAAATAATAAAAATTACTTTTACCTTAAATTATAATTTTAAAAAAGTTGTACGATAGAGCTTTAGGCGACACTTAAAAAAAAATCGAACGCGCCTAGTTAGTGGAACCTCAAAGGTGGTGTGGAAGACCACTACTAATAACACTTAAAATTACTAATGAACTAATAATACGCTACACATACTTTAACAATGCTAACAAGAGTGCAATAAATCTTAGATCTATTTGACTGCATTTGTAAGATGTATTTGACTGCATTGTATGTTACCGTTCCTCCACTAATCTCCACAGTACAGTGACACTTACTAATATGCAGTAATTTAAAATAAATAGTTAAAAATTTTCCAGGTGTGTAATCTTTTCATAGAGATAAATGATAAGAAGCAAGCGTGACTAATTGAGTAAGGCGAGTGGCAGGAATATTGAAAATCTCGTGTTTGAAATCTGCTTTTGTAACTTTTTTTTTGTTTTTGATATTTGTTTCTAGCACTGTACCATTAAGTGAATCATTAAATAATACTTTTGGCTAAAAAATATTATTTTATATTTATTAACAATAATTGCATATGTTAAATTGCACTTTGTTGCAATATGTATGTTGTAAAATGACTTCATTTTTCTATTTACAATAGCAAATCAGTATTCTTTTTAAAATAATTAGTTATTAGTTTACCATATGCAAATATGTTATTAATATACAAAATAATA